TCTCACAATTTTCCCGCGCTCAGTCCAACCCAACCCAGTCCAACCGAACCTACGCGTTACACCATGATCGACGATTTAATGAACTCGTGACTCGATATTACAGCCGGTTTACATCGTGGCGATTAAAACGGGCAGGAGGTCGATCGAGGGGAAGGGGAGAGTGAAAGAGAGAGAGAGATGCTCGCTCGGGAGGCATTAAGCCGTGTCGTTTATAATGAGCCGCGCCGCGATTAATTAGGCTCGCGCCATATTGGCCGCCAATTAATAAAGGCTCATCGGTGATTACGATAGAGGCGGAGGGAAGCGTTTTATGCAAGGGCGAGCTGGTATCTCCTCCGGCCGATCAAATTACGTTAGAACGGCCACTGTGGGGGCCTTCCATCGCATAACATCTGTTTGTTCGATAATTCATGAACCTCGTCGCGAAACATTCTGGCTCCGCGGTTGTTTTCTTCTTTTAAGACTGGATCTCTTCGTTTTTTTTTTTTTTTGTCTTTTCGTTTTCTACCTTGTGCTCCCTGGACGTTTTCTTCAACGATCGTTAACTTGGAAAGTAAGTGTTATTAGATTGATAATCTTAATCTGGCTGGTTGATATTTTATTTATTTATTTTTTTTTTTCGATATCGAACAGTATGAAATGTAGATGGATATTGGATTGTGGAAGAGGATAGGTAATTTTGGAATTTTTTACTCGAAGCGTTGAAAGTGAATGAAAGATCAGGTGGTCAAGAGTTGTTACGAGTTTTAGGATCTTATAGGTTTTGGGGATCTGAATGATTGAGAACGTTTATAAATTTAACATCGAACCAGAAGATGAAAGGGAATGGATGATTTTGAAAATCTTATTTGAAATTTTCAATTTTAGATTTTGCGTTCTCTGCGAGCCTTTTCTATTTTTATAAGAAAAGTTTCCCAAATATTCTCGATTTTGATGAAATTTACAGAGGATAAAGTTAATGCGACTAATAATTAAAAGATACATCCTCTACAATCGAAATAATCACGAAAAATTCGATCGAATCGATAGATTTCATATCATGAATTTTTTAAAAGAACTTTTGCAGAAACTAAATTATCCAGCAATATTTAAAAAAAAAAAAAACTAACGAAACAGTTAAAACAAAAAATGGTCGATTGCTCAACAACCAATCCAATCGAAACGAAGTAATCGTTAACCGTGAAAATTACAACGAGTTGATCACTTTCACGAGATATATAGAAATATCGATAACTCGTGATAGACGAAAAACAGGCGTAAAAAGTGTAGATCTAATCCTTGGATAGGGATAAAAAGCGAGCCGATTGATCGTTAAGTTCCATGACAGGGAATTATTAAGAAGTCTCGAGAGAGAGGGAGGGAGAAGGGTAAGATTATAGCAAAAAACTAAATTACTCACGGTTCATCCGTGATTACGTTATAGGGGGGGAATACGTGATAATATTGGCCGATCCTTTGAGATGATGTTCTCTATCGAATAACAAAAACTCGTTATGAAAAAGTAGGAAAGTTACTTACATGAAATGTTCTAAATGTTAGATATATTTTTATTTCATATTTTTTTTTTTACTTTTTTTATTTTTTTTTTTTGAAATTTTATATACGTTTTTGAATCGATGATAATCTCGAAAATATTAATTCAGAAGCGTTCAATTTATTATTTTCTTAGAAGTAACGAATAATTAAATTGATCGTAATGAAATAAAACAAACCTTTCAAAATTTATTGTCTTTCGATTTTAAGTTCGAATATTGTGAACATGAATTGTATATTAATTTAGATATTATAAAAAAAAGAAAAAGTGATTAATAATTTATTTTTTCCATCTTCTATTTCATGTGCCAATAAATAATTTGAAAGGATATATTTTAATAATGTCAGATTCAGAGAAATAGAAGAAGAAAAACTTGACTTGTCCCAAGATATAATTATTTTAATCACAGTAGTGTAGTAGACGGAAGTGTGAACAAGTTCAACTTTAATAGGTATTGCTCTCTCGTAAAAATGAAAAAAATATCATCAAGTTTTCCTTCTTATGTCATTTCGTAATCAGAAATGTTGTAGTACTTGGAACTTGGTCGATCGAATCTACTTTCTTACCACTTTGTCACATTTAATATCCCTTTGCAGGAATAAATTTATATAATATTATCAACGAGATCTTTCGTAAATCAATTCGTAAAGTTTGAAGTAAATATTTTCATATTGAAATTCATTAATTATGGCCAAATCGAAGATGATTATAAAAAATATATATGTATATCTTGACCTAATAAATTAGATACGCGTTTATAATTTCGATTACAATAGTTTCCCGTTACGAGGAAATTAAGAAGATGGACAAATGAGTTACTCACGATCTAACGGATATTCAGAACTATCGATGATTAGATGCACGAGTATCGTTTCTCACAGAGTCGCAAAAAATTTGCAAGTTTGATTCAGTCAATAATAACTGCGATATTCCTCGAATAATTAAAATTATCTCTTCGATCTTGAAAGAAAGTTTAAATTAATAATTTCAAAAAAGCAATTTTATTCGGACTAGATTCGAAGAGATATTTCGCTTAACCGC